TTGGGGCCAGAGCTGGTCGTAACCCGAAAAATTCGCAAGCAGAGGCGTTCGTATCCCGAGGTGCCACTGTATCTTTACAGTATGAAGAAAACATGTAAAGGTTTAAACTCCTATCCAAAAGTTGTAAGAAACGTTCAAGTTTTGGGGTATTTTATGTGTCTTCTTAAATTGTTGCTATATAAAATATAAAGTGAAATTGAAACAATGACTAATAAATGAAACTGCTTCATTTTTTTTTTTTTTAAAGGAACAGAATTAAGGTACCCACGTTTTCTGGAGGCTGGTCTGCCTTAACTTGCTGGTCTTCAGTCACCTGTTTTTCAACTTTGCTGCTGATATCCTAATCAGTATGGATAAATAAATTATAAAATATTAGCTTGTGGTATATTTGTGGTCAACCATAGCTCTATCATCCACCAGGAGCAAGGATCAGTGATGAGACAAAAGAACTTCCAAGTCATTCCAAGCCCACTGACAATTATCCATTCCTGCTCATACTTGTAGGGATGAATAATACTGCAAAGAACAGCTTCAACCCCATATCACCAAGAACTTTGAAAATCTTAAGAGGAAGCTCAAGACTTAGAGACTTAGGTGGTATTTCTGTCCACCTTTTAAAGTATGTGGAAGAGTGAAAAGGAAAGAAGACTACTGAAAGTCAATGACTGGCTATGCATATGGTGTTGATGAGAGATTTAGTTTCTATCAGCCTCAAACTTTAGTCCTGCTTTTTCATCCCGCTCTTTGCACATTCCTGGTAGAACACATACCTGTGTGTGTGTGTGTGTGTGTGTGTGATATTATAACATTTTTCAAGTACCTGAAGGTAGAAGGTCAAGATCTGCTTCTTCTCATTCCAAAGCATGGGATATGCAATAATGAATTGAAGTTACAGCAAGGCAGATTCTGACTCAATGTTAGAAAATTTCCTAACAATAGACCAGTTTGACAGGAGAGCCAATTACCCTGAGAGGTGACGGGTTTCCCTTCATTGTTCAAACAGAAGCTAGACAACCTGGAGTCCTTTAATTTAGGTCAGTGCACTGAGTAGCCTGGTTGGACTTGACGGCCAAAATGATTTTTTCCTAAATAGGATTCTATGTACGATTCCAGGTTTGAGGAGATCTCAGATAATGTGCCCAGAGATAGTTCCAGGCAGAATCCAGAGAGTGCTGTCATTATTTTCTGCCATCTTCTTCCATACTGCTGTGTAATGGAATGTGAGAATGACCTTGCAAGTTGGGGGAAAGAGATGCCACCTATGGAATGATCAGATATAGGAGAAAGGAGTCCGCAGTAGGGTAATGGTCAATGAAAGAAACTTAGGAAAGACCAGCCCTAACTATTCAGGTGGTAAATAGGGAGGGTGGGAAATTTGTGTTTCCAGACTTGCAAGTATCTGTTAATGTAGCTTTACAATAAAGTAGAATTAGTTCATCTAGCCTTGTTTCCTGTCTGGTTTACCTGGAAGGGTTGACATCAGTCTTGCAAGTCTCCTACTCTCTTCTAAAGAGAGGAATTTTGAGAATGGCCTCCAATCTTCAAAGAACCCTGCCATCCACAGAACATCGGGCAGCCGTGTTGTTGCAGCACCAGCAACAAGTAGACACACAGATGAAAAATTTACAGAATGCCATGCTACAACTAATGCAGCAACTGGGGCAGAATTAACCTCAGCCCATAGCAGCACAAGCAATGGTAGGCTAGCCAATGCTCTTGAGTTCCCATGGCAGCTTGCCGGAGAAGTTCAGAGGGACCAGGATCAATTCCGGATATTCATCGCTCAGTGTAAGATATTTACGGTAGGCAGATCAGTGGAATTTCCTACTGATCACATCAAAGTGACTTTTGTGCTGAGCTTGCTGAAGGAAGCAGCAGCTAAGTGGGTAATACAGTTCATTGAGGGGAACAATCCGTTGTTGGACAACTATCAAGACTTCATGCGTAAGCTCAAAGGACACTTTGGGGATCTCATACAGAGAATCACAGCTAGTTGAGAGATCCAAAAGCTCAAGCAGGGACAGAGAAGAGTAAGGGCGTATATTTTGGACTTGCTGGTGATGTAGGGTGGAACGACTTAGCCCTAATTGACCAGTTCAGGAAAGGCTGAACAATGAACTAAGGGATGAGCTGGTGAGACAAGGCACTCCAAAGAACCTGGATGAGCTATATCAGCAGTATGTAATTATAGACACCTGACAGGACATGAGTATTTAACGGCCTTCGATACAAGGTATGGAAAATTTGAATATACAGTGATGTTGTTTGGCCTAATCAACTGCGGGGCTGTTTTTTCTAGATTCATGAACCAACTATTTGCAGACATTTTAAATAAATATGTAATCATTTATTTGGATGACATCTTAGTTGATTCTATAGATCCCTCCTTGCATGTAACCCATGTCAGAAATGTATTGCAAAAGTTACAGGACAACAATCTCTTTGCTAAATTAGAAAAATGTGCATTTAATCTGGCCCAACTGGACTATTTGGGTTACAGAATCTCTACAAAAGGCATACAGATGGATCCAGCAAAAGTGCAGGCTATTCTAGCATGGCACCCCCCCCCCCAATGCAAAATAATGCTTTCTGGGCTTTGCTAACTTCTACAGGAAATTCATCCCTAATTTTTCTGAGCTTGCAAAACCACTATCCCAGCTCTTAAGAAAGGGCTGGTGATTCTCCTGGTCAGCCCAAGAGCAAGCAGCATTTCAAGAATTACAGCAGCTCTTTGCTTCTCAACCCCTCCTCTGCCACCCCACCACTCCCCCCATCCCTTTTTTGTGCAAACAGATGCCTCATATGTAGCTGTAGGAGAGGTTCTACTCCAAGCAGTAGAGTTATTTATGAGTTGATTTTTTGTCAGCCCTCCCAGGTAAACCAGACAGGAAGCACAACTAGATGAGCTACTTCTACTTTATTGATAGGCTACAGTAACAGAATCTTGCAAGTCTGAAAGTACAAATCTCCCGCCATCCCTATTTATCACCTGATCAGTTAGGGCGGGTCCTTTCTAAGTTTCTTTCTCTGCCCATTACTCAGTCGCATGCTCGTCCCCCTTTTATCTGATTGTTCCTTAGGCAGCATCCTTTCCCTGTCTTCCAAGGTTATTCTCGCATTCCATTACACGCTGCCAACACTCTGTCCTCTGTCATCCTCCTCCCATGTCAACCACATCACACCGTTGCTTTTTTCTTGGCCTCCTCAGCACTGTTTGCACTGCTGCGCTGCTTTTTTATATCCTCTCTGCCTCCTGGCACAAAAGAACGTACTATCGGAGCCAGCCAGTAGCCTTCTCCAGCTGCCAATAGGAAAGCTTCAATTTTGCACAGTTTTGCTGTTTAAAACTGTGATTGCTGTTTAAATATCAAAACAACATCTGATCCAACAGAAAACTATAGTTTTCTGTAATGCATGATATATGGGCCAATATATCGCAATGAAGTTATTTTTGAATATAAGTAATCTAGTTATCCCATTTTAGAATACTTACATGGCACATTATTATTATTTATTATTATTAAAATTTATTATAGCTGCCCACTCCAGAAGACTCTGAGTGGCTCTATCTATCTATCTATCTATCTATCTATCTATCTATCTATCTATGTCTTCAAGTCAGTTTTTGACCCCTAGCGTCTGTCTGGACTAGTCCCTGAAGTTTTCTTGGCAAGACTTCAGAGTTGGCTTGCCATTGCCTATCTCCTAGGGCTGAGAGAGAGTGACTGGCCTAAGATCACATAGCTGGGTTTGTGCCCAAGGCGGGATTAGAACTCACAGTCTCCTGGTTTCTAGCCTGGTGCCTTAACCACTACACCAAACTGCCTCTAAATATATAATTAAAAACAGAACACATAACATTTCTCAGGCTGTACAGGAGACAGGGGGAGAATTGTACTTTCAGACTTGCAAGGTTCTGTTAATGTAGCCTTACAATAAAGTAGAATTAGCTCATCTGGTATGTTTCCTGTCTGGTCTACCTAGTAAGGCTGACAGGTAACACTTTCACTATCTTTGTAAACCCCAGTTTCTTAACAAACATCATTTGGCTTTCAAGGTATTGTTAAATTATATTAAGAACTTTAATAACCTGCAGTTATATACTCTTGGATATTATTTTGGTATTACCAAGCATTTTGACTCAAAGAGAAACTTTAAGTATCTATTTTAAGATATTTCTACTATCAAATGAAATAATTTGGACTTATTTTTCTTGGTCAGTATAATATTACAAATGCAAGTTTTCAGTCCAATTCATCTCTGTCTTTAATTACTCTTAACTTACATTGTGCAAATGTTCATTAATTGATTATATCACTCCCACATTTACTTAGTAACTGTTCTTCCTATAGCAAAGGGATATGTCTAATGTTCATTGTTAAGGGAGCAGAGGGTTTCATTATATACATGTTGGGATTATGTTAAGCTAATTATGATTAATTGTTTTCATTTATAAAACATTGGAAAGCATCTTACCTCATTGGAAGACTGAGTGCAAGAGGGTAATGGGAAAGGAGCTACAGCCATCTGGTTAAACGCATCCTCATTGCTGACAGTCAAGAGAAAAATAATTGATTAGTCAAACTAAAAGGACAACTCACATTCAATCTCCCTCCCTGCCCTCTCTCTGGTGAGTTATAGTTGTTTATCACATTTGCAACCTCCTTTCCTCTGTGGTACACAAAAGGTTTTCAGATCCCCCATTTCAAAATACTAACCAAATCAAGATCCTGTAACATTGCTACATCATCTGCTTTCAATACTTGCTTCCAAAAAAAGAAAAAGGCATTTAAAAAGCAAAATTAAGAATGTATTTCAGTCCCTTTACTTTACTTACAGCAAGAAATGGACAAGGTAATTAGGATGCTGAAAATATACTATTATTTGGAGAGACAGCTCATTTCCGTATGTTAAATTGCACACAATTAACACAAGTCACTTATGCCAAAACAAGGATGATTTCCCAAAGGATGATGCAGACATACAGAGGAATCCTGTTTCAGAAGGTCTTCCTCTATGTGCCCTGATCTCTAGTCTGAATTATCTGATCAGTTCCAAGAGCATTTTCATTATTGCTCCATGCTGTAGTATTTACACAGAGGAATATATTTTAATCAAATTTGTATTACACTTATTATTTTAATGTGAATGGTTTCGTCAGCATTGTACTTTTAAAAATATGTTTTATTATTATTGTTTTAATACAGGAAAATTGGCACTCTCATGTTTATTACCTGGAGTGAAGGTGAGCTGTGATTTCTGCATATTTGGGACAAAGAAGATGCAGAATTCTACTAGACAAATAATTGTGGGGAAAAAAAACCCTTAAAATTCCCCAAAAAGGACTATGTTGAGTACTTCCCAGAACCTATGTAGTGCTGAAGAATGGAGAGTGAAAAAAAGCAAGAAAAAACATTGGGGCAATAAATTGGGGCATTGCTTTATTGCTTGGCTTTATAAACCATCTTATGGTTTTCTGAACGGATTAGACTTTGCCTGGATAAAACAACAGCCCATAGAAAATCCTTTCTAGTAAGTATGAATGTACTACAGATAAAAAAAGGGTTTATGCTATTCTGCACATATTATTTTTAAAGAAATTCAACAATATTTCTCAGTGGTACAAAAGATTAGGTAACAAATTGTGCGGAATGTTGTAAGTAGTCGTTTGCACTGCCCTACAGCTGGCATTAGGGAGAATTAAGAAGTAGCTGCAGACTGGTCTTGAAATGGCAAATTCTCTCATATTCACCTGATCCAGCCTATCAACTTTGCAGTTAGAATCCTGCTGAAATATTTTACTGTTCAGCACCACATACTATGCAAAAACTACACTGATGTCATTCTGTTTCATCTGTTACATTCTTTGGGGCCTCACGTAGATCACATTATCAGTCTGATTTTTTTTTCTCATAATAACAGTTGATGTCACTTGCTTAAAGTGACATCAAGCGATACTATGAAAAAAAATCAGAATGATAATAAGTGAAAGTCTCAGACAAGAAGGATACACAATGAGTGAATACATACTTTTAATGTCAAATAATAAAGAACAAGGAAAGAGATAGCTAAGAATGCCAAGAAATACAGAAAAATAACAAGAAAAAGGAGATTAGAGAAATTACAGGAAAATTTACAAACACTGGAGCACTCTATTAATGAGATTTAATAGAGGCAAATTAAGTTAAAGGAAGATGGAAAGACTTAGAAATTGCATTGTAGAAAGGCAAAAGCATATTTTTTTAGAGGGAATATATTCAGGAACTTGACTCCACTAGAAAACAGGGCACAATGTTGTCACAAAGAAAAGTACCAGGTTAAGATGAAATTTATTTATTTGTTTGTTTGTTTATTTATTTATATGGCCGCCCATCTCATATGCATGACTCTTGGTGGCTAACCATTAAAAACAGAATAAAATATAGTAAAAACAACCAAAATTGAAAACAACAGAAACAACATAAAATAGCATAGCAGCCAAAAAAACCTACTGAGCTGCTTAAAGTTGCAGAAGTGGCAGTTAAAGTGCCAACAGCTCTAACTCGACAAATGTGGAACAGGACTGTGTGGGCTAGAGAATGGAAAAGATAATTGTATATACTGTACCTGTACTAAAGAAGTGAGTTGCAAGAGAAGGGGCAATCTAACTGAACCATTGTAATGCTTCCTCATGCCTACAATATTTTGAATAAGATCATCCTCAGAAGAAAACATCCATAGATGAAGAGAGAAATGACAAATGAACAGGCAGAAGGCCATGAGATCAAATAGTTAGCTTAAGTTGGGCAAAGGAGAGAGCAAGAGAATTTAAGGAGGAGATTAACCTTTGCTTTATTGATTATAAATCTGCCTTTGATCACATAGATCGTGCCAGATTCTGGAATATATTAAGATTATGGATGTGCCATAATATGATCATTCTTTTGAGAAACATCTTGAATGAGAAGCTACCATAAGAACTGAATTTGGAGAAATACTGTAGAGAATTAGAAAGGGAATAAGACAGGAAAAAAATTGTCCCCAAATCTGTTTATAATACAGCAAATGTAAGTGTGGCAGAATTGGAAGAAATTGAATCAAATGGGAGACTGAATGAAACATTACAGCAAATGAAACTATGGCAGAATTGGAAGAAATTGAATCAAATGGGAGACTGAGTGAAACATTAACAGTTTGAGATAGGTAGACAATACCAGTTTATTAGCTGAAAATAAAAGAGTTCATTATGAAGATAAAAACCTTAATTGAAAAAAACCCTGAACTTATGTTAAATATTAAGAAGACAAAAGTAATATCAAAGCAGCATGCTCAGTGAACCTACTGATGATGGTAAAGAAGTAAAAATGATGAATAGTTTGGTATTCTAGGATTCAAGAATAAGTATGGGTGATTAATTTAATTTTTTTAAATTAAAAAAAGGGGGGGCTAACTGCTCCTTTGAGAAAATGATCAGCAGCCAGAAACTCAAATATTTTGAGCATCCGATGCAAGTGGAGGATGGACTAGAAAAAGCAAAATTGAAGAACGTAAAAAAAGAGAAGATAATGAATAAAGCAGATGCATGCAATCAAGATCACAGAAATGTCCTTAGAAAAACTATGCATACTCATTAGAGAAAGGTTTATGTGATTGACAAGGTCAGAATCCAACTCAATGGCAATAAACTAAATTTGGACATGAGTTTTTAGGAAGGAAAGTGTGGGAATGTGAGAGGACAGTACATCTCTCACAAGGGTACATGTGCTACAGAATATAGGCAAGTATCTTTCTGGAACTGAAAAGGTGGAGCTGAGAAGTATGAAATAAGATCAGTTGAGAGCTAGCGGAGGAGAACAGTTGGTTAGAGAACCAACCTGTTCATGAGTGTATCAAAATGGCAAACTGGAGATAACGAGAGAAAAATGAAAAGATGAAAAGTCACAAAGCCCATTGAAAGTAAGCACCTCGAGGCTTCTAAGGAGAAAGAGGATGAAGTGGTGAGCTGATGAAGGAAGCGTGCTGTCAGAGGTGTGGGTGTATGTAGACAAGATAGGAATGGGGAAGCTGTATGCAGCATTCCAGCAGACTAAAATCCCTGGAATTCTAATCAAAGCTGAACTGTAAGAGAAGATGACTAGACGGGGGAGGAAATCTTGTCATGTTCCCCAACACTTTGTTATCCAGAGTCTGTTAAGAGTGGTGATAGCTGCTGAGCCAAAAAAGGAGGAGCCAGAAAGCATACAGGATTGTACAACAATACCTTGAAGGCATACATCTAGTTGTACACCAAATTCCAAGCATATTCCTTAAAATAATCAATTATGTGCCATCAAGTCAATTTCAACCCTTAGCGACCACAAACATAGACCTTCTAGATAAACCTTAAGACAATACAGCATGTAAATGAGATATGTTCTATCCTCGTTTGCTTTCCTAAGACCCCCAGGTAATTGTAATGCAGGTCTTCATAATGAGAATTAATAAGCATATTTTAAAGCTCTATAGCGCCTTAGGTTCTGACAATTTTTGTCTCCCTCTCTTTTTTAAAGATATCTAATCTGCCTAAGTAGTAAGGAAATGAACATAAAATATTTTCAGCTCTGAATGCTGCTTGTAATTAAAAAAGGTTTATAGCTATATCTTCTGATGTAATAAATACATTTTGTCATTGACAATGAAAAGGAAGAAGGAAGAAGGAAGGAGCGAGCAGATAGCTTTCATATATGCAGAAAAGTGCAAATGTATCTGATGGAAAAACCAGACAACAATACTTTTCACTTGGAAGTCAGTGATATGGATTGAGAAAGAAAACCACAACGTTACTCCATGGCAAGATGAACAACTCTATAATGGGTTGCCATTTTGAGCAGCAGCTCCATTTCTGGTGTGACTAATGTTTACTGTATTCTTGCCATCTGCCATTTCCCATCACCACTAAAATTGTATTGCACATAACAGATAATAATTTTTAATCATTTAAAGCCAAATTCTTCAAGGAAAGAAAAGGAACATTTAGGTCAAAGGAGACTGCTTCTCATTATCTAGTTGGTTGTACTTGGTATTTTAGCTTTGCTTCACACAAAACTGTTCCATTAAAGGTATGTTTTAAGTAGCTTTTTAAATAATAAAATAAGCTGTCCTTTAAAAAAAAAAAGCATCTATCTTTTGCTTTCTCATCTTGCTACTATTAAGCAATGTCAAATTAATGACTGAATTATGAGAGAAAAGAGGAGTTATTTATCAACTATCTTTGATTTCCTTTACATTTAAAATATTAAAATAAAAAGGAAAGGAGCTAGGACACCTTTGATCTATTTTTAATTCAAACATTTTGGTTTCCAGGACATCAAGTTCCCAAGATTATTTCAAATATGCCTAGATCTCTTTAATGCAAAGAGACTACCAAATTTTATTGCTAACAAATGAAAATGCTCTCTGTCATTATTCCTAGTTTCCACTACCTTCTTCCAGTTCCTAAACTTACCTAACAGCAGCAGCAGTAATGAGATGGAATCCTCATGGGCAGTCTTTTATGGTAACTAGGTCTCCATCTTGCCGTACTATCTGGGA